GAGACGACGCGATACATTCGCGGAATGAAGAATCCGTGGAAACGTTGATGTATTAACAATTGCATTGCAAAGCTGGCAATTGAAGGTGATTTTTTTTTAGCAGTGATGCTCGTTAATTGAAGAATTACAAGGTAAATTTGTAAATAATATGATTGTAAAATTAAATAGTGTGTAATCTGCAGCATTCTTGTACTTGCAATATCACTCAGTATGCAGAGTGAATTATCAGACATATGTACACATATCTAAACGTATAAAATACAGTGCAATGTTCAATCTCGAGACTTTTTCAATTCTCTTCAATTATCTTCGAATTCATTCTCGATCTTTTTAATACAATTATTTCGCTCGAAACATTTGTTTTTTATGTAATAATTCACAAATAAATCGAATGATTCACAGTATGCGCAAATAGTATAATAACAATGTGACAATTCTTATAATAAACAAATATAATAGTATAATATGTATTCTTATAATAAATATAGAATAATAGAATAATATATATTCTTATAATAAACAAATATAATGGTATAATAAATAAATATAATAATATAATAATATAATAATATAATAAATAAATATAATAATATAATAATATAATAAATAAATATAATAATATAATAATATAATAAATAAATATAATAATATAATAATATAATAAATAAATATAATAATATAATAATATAATAAATAAATATAATAATATAATAATATAATAAATAAATATAATAATATAATAATATAATAAATAAATATAATAATATAATAAACAAATCTTATTATCACTACGTACAGTAAATCAACAGAAGATAATTTGTTTGACAAGAGGTAAAAAAAAATACAAAAAAAAATGCACGAGTGAAGATTCGATGTATGCAACACAGTTTCGAGCGTTGCACCAAGCGTATTTGCGCGTGGTCAAGGTGCCCGACACTGCCGGTATAATGTAACGTCATCGGACTTGGCCTTGCAGCCACTCTCGCGCGTCCTCGTCTCTCGCCCTCTTTGTCACGATTAAAGCCGTGCTCGTGGTTCTCCGATCCACCTCGATCGTCGTTTCGATCCATCGGTAACTGCCATAGGCTATAGACCTCTGACGTTCTGTCTCACTTGCGTCAGTTTCGTGAGAACTCTAGTAATTCCTGCGTTTTTTTCGAAAAACATTGTGTGAATGGATTTGAACGGGTTAGAATTCGGACGATTGGAATTTAGTATGATTGTTTGATATTTAATTCGAAAAAGAGATTCGAACTGGATCGCCGGATTATCTTTGGTGGATTGGTTTAGTTGTTGGAAGTAGAAAGTTTGAGCGACGGAATTTAGGACGGCTGTTTAATTTGAAAAAGGATTTACAAGCTTAAGGTTACGTCTCGATATTTCTGAGACTGCGGCCCATCTTTGGTATCATTCTGAATCGTAAGTTTGAGCACTGGGATTTCTTTGATATTTAATTCGTTGAGTGTTTTTCTTTTTGCTTTGGAAGACTTGATTCTTACCAGAGCACCTATAATTGAATTGACTGCAATAATTTGTATCGATCGCCTTGTACTTTACACTCTGATGAGAAATTGGTAGTAAAATCAAATTAAATTAAATCAGTTCGAAATTAAATAACGCAAAATTTGGCCAGATCTCACCCCAAAATATCAGTCCGTCATTTTTCGCCATTTCGGTCTTCGCTAACCTTGCAACAGGTAATTTCCACGGAATCTCTTACGTCACCATCGGGCACACATGTCGCCCTTGACACACTAGCCCGAAAAGGGTCAGATTATCCGAATCTTCTTGAAAATCGACCCGCAATAATCGACGAACAGAACAAGCTGACAACGTTCGTTGCGTGAGAATCTGCTTGTTCAGGCATTTAGATGGTTTCCTATGGCGAGAGGAGAACTTCTTAAAATTATTTAACATTCGAATCCGTTCGACCCGTGAACGTTATTAAATTTTTTAGACGAAATATGTCGGATGAAATGTACGCAAATTTATAATATTAACATCATTGGACATCGTTGGACATTGTAACAATTTGTAAATTACGAAATAAATTAATATTTATAATATAATGATAGATTTTGCAAAAATATAAAACTGGATCAACACATTTCAATCGTAACTTCTTTTTAATCGGTTCATATTATTGGATTTTGTAAAATTCTGTTGTGATCAATAGAACGCAGATTTGTATACATTATGTAAAATTTTACAATTGCACAGAATGTATATAGAATACATTATATAGTCCAGAATGGAATACTCCTTATATAGAATCGTTACTAACAGTAAATGAAAAACAAATTTTCACACGAGTTTGCAGTATAAAATTCTATAAAAATCCACAGTTTTGTTATTAATAAGAGGGAAATTAAAAATTTTTATCCAAAAGTGCATCGAGTTCAATTCTTTCACTGTACTGTAAGTATCAAACAGAGATACAATTCGCATAATTTCCTGTCTGTACGAATATCAAATTACATAAAAATCAAATTAGATCAGAACCAGCACCAAGAGTTTTGCCCAAGGAACTCGCTGCGAAAGCGGAAATTCGTTGGATCGCAGACGCAAGAAGCGCTTTCGTTTCGTCTGTCGTTTGTCGATGACCTTCGATTCGTTTAGCATTGCTCGCCGATGGCGCAATTAAAGCAAAAACGGCGTAACGGCGTTTAATAAACGGCCGCGATTAGCGACGCGCAATCGACGACCCTAACACTCGAAATAGAAGTCACTAGAGGAGAGTTGCGACCTCGGTGTAATTATATATTTTCCGCGGAAACGCGCGGCTGATGTCAAACGGTCGGCGTGTCATTTAACCTCTTAAGCATTCGCCAGTGATTAACCTACTGAACCCGAGTTCTCTTTGTCATTCTCCGCTGTCTTTTCTTTAAAGCACTTCACCTCTGTGTCGGAACTTCTGGATAAAAGGAAAAAATTGCATTAGCTTTCTAGAAATTCCGCTACTTGTCACCGCAGTTACTAGACTCTTGGATTGAATTAACACGATTTAATATTTAATTCGATTCCAGAAGATTTCTGGATTCTTATTTCAGAAGAATTCAGACTGGATTAGTCCACCAATGGCATGATATTGATTAAGAATTTCCTTGATGCAATGAAATGTTCATTCTGTTCAATTTTTTACATGTATGTCTTCAGATAATGTTTGATTTTATACACACCTCTCTATAATGTATATTATAAATTTCTTAGTCAATGATCTCTCTCGTGCAAAAAAAAAAAAAAAAGAAAAGGAAAAAATCATAACTGTGTAAAATAAAGTTAAAAAGAATAAAAAAATAAAAACGTATGAAAGAGGAAGACATAAAATGAACAAGAGAAGTTAATGCAAAATAAGTTAATACAAAATTATGACGTTTAAATTTACAATTAAGGGATCTCCCTTGTCTCTCCCTGGCTCTCCCTCGTTTTACACAGTTCCATTTGCTTCTCCAGTTCTCTCTTTTGTCATTTCCAACAATTACATCTCTTTCCCCTTCGTTGAATGACAGTGGAGGGCTACGCTCATCGACTAAACTCTATTAAAACGTCGTTTATCTTCTGTATACACCGTGTATGCGCGAATGTCTGTTCGACCGGTGCACGTTTCATCGTAAATCCAGCTAGGAAATGGAGCGTGGAAAAAAAAGTATCGAGACAGTTACTGCACAGAGAACAGAATACGATGATTGAACGACGGGAATTACGAGTACGACACGGTGAAACGAGCAATTTGTACCGCAACTTGCTCTCGAGGCTTGGGCTTCCTCCGTAAGGACATAAAGCAACGACACGTGGACTGTTTCACCGTTTTATCCGTTTTATTCACTTTCTCACCTCGTTCGTGAGCCATCAATGTGAAACGAAGCTTTTACGTTACACAGACTTGTAATATCCTGTTATCAAATTTTGTTTTATTCTTTCACGTCATTCCAGCGCAAGAGGTTAATTACTATTCTGTGCCTTCATTTTCCACGTAATATACAGAGGTTCATGAAAGTATTTGAATGTCAACTACAGGAAACGTTTAACCATCAAAATTTCATTAACATCCTAACGAGAAGCTGTGACATACACGTATTTAAAAGCTACAAAAGGAATATATATATATATTTCACAGAGGTCACAAAAATATTTAAACAGCCAATTGTCTGTCATATTAATCTCAATATTCAGTGCATGAATTTTTCACTAGATGTATGTCGATTGCTTTCAAATTTCATCAATATAATTCATGCAAAAATATAAAAATATATAAAACATCCAGAATATAGCACTTATCATTGCATTTGACAAATTGAACTTGAATTTATATCTAAGTTTTCTATTCGTATGTCACATTATAGTGCTAATGAACGTGGATGTAAACATTTTCTATATTAAACGTTCGTGGGGTAGCGTGTGTCTGAAAAATTTGACATTAAACGAAGCAAATGACAACTATTAATTCCTATCGGTTCTTATTCTTTCTGTAACTGTAAATTACGACCCGTGATGATGATAATTAACGTGGTTGCGTATCTTGGACGAGACGAGTCGTCCTCGATCGGTCGGTAAATAAGAATCTCGGTTAGTCGAGGTTGAAAGTAAAAGGACGTCTTGCCGTGAATACAAATGAAGTAAAAGTGTAATTCTGTGACGCGTTAGAAAGTAACGTTATTTGGGACGTGTGTACGTTACTTTGACAGTGTTCTCTAAAAATTTATGATACTATTAGCACCATTGTATGCTGCTTGACGTGTGACAATATTTTTCATTGGGGATTTTATTTATTGATTTTGAAAGAGATGATATAGCTTCATGTGTAATTGAAACTGCGAGTAAATATTATAAATTGGAAAATGCGCCATTACATTTGCATGTAGAAATATACATTTTATGTTTGTGTATGAAAAATAGAATTTTGTAAACACAGAAATATATTTTCATACTAACGAAAGAACTGTATATGTATGTTTTTTTTTTTTTTTTTTTTTTACTAACATAAAATTTGTCTGTTTCAGGGCTGAGTCTGGACAACAGTAACATGTCCATGTCCTCGGTGGGCCCGCAAAGTCCTCTGGACATGAAGCCCGATACAGCTAGCCTCATCAATCCAGGAAACTTCAGTCCTTCCGGTCCCAATAGTCCTGGGTAAGTCCTGGACAATCCATCACGAGCTGGATAATTTTTACGATTTAACAATTTGCCAATGTATCCACGAAACAAGCGTCGATTCGCGTTGTATATTGAGAAAATAGAATTCCGGTGAATGACATCGTAAATCGAGGATGTACGACCAACGTAGTCGCACTATTGTAGAAATCGAGCAAGATACTGTTTCATTTCTTACTCTGATTTTACCATTTTATTGCCACGTGACACATAAAACGGAATGTTTCATAAAGCTAAGAGCAGTCTTGGCGATCGAAAGCGAAGAGAAAATAGAAAAGAGCGGGCGTTCTGTCAGTGAAAAGTATGTTCGAGTTATTTCAGATTGCTTTAGACGACGCTTTAGTTTTCCATACAAATGTTATCTTACTTTATAATTGTTCACAAAACTATAATTTGTAATTAAATTACGAATTGGCAGTGGTAATTTTGGAATTATCCTTTGTCAAGTTATTTCACTTGTTAATATTTTCGAAACTATTTTCCTACAAAGTCATTTCAATTTTAAAAAAAAAAAAATTGCACAATACTGAAAGTATTCTCTCCGTGAGTTTAATCTGGAATCAGGAGAATTATGTTGTAGGTTAATTTTCGTACTCTTGTTTTACGATTTAATTTCTAATTTCAATTTGAAATTAGTTCTTTTCAAAGAAATTTGATTTCCTCAGACGGGGGTATTTTGCTCGATCCGGGGCAGTAGTTTCGTAGCTGGAGTTTTTTGTTACTGTCTTCTTTGCATGTAAGATCCTTCACCGCTGGTTGTCACAGCAACCTTCTGAGTACGTCGCCGAGTGGACAGAACAAAGCGGTCGCACCCTATCCGCCGAACCACCCTCTATCAGGAAGCAAGCACCTCTGCTCGATCTGCGGTGACCGTGCCAGTGGCAAGCATTACGGTGTCTATAGGTGAGTGAAACAGATCCAAGAATCAAGTTAACATCGTTAAAATCTCGAAAGTCGATTGTGAAGGGAATTTCCGAACCTTTGGGACGCGACCACCCCTCTCCAAGTCTGAATTAATTTCATAATTTACAGATTTAGTTGAATTTCGAAATTCTATGGAATAGAAATGTCTCGGCTTTCCATTTCTATTTTGCAAGCAATAACAAAATAAATTTCAACGTTCGTCATTGCTTGACTTTTAATAGCAAGAGAATGCAAATTAATACCTTTTTTTTTTTTCAAGTACGACTGTAATTTATTAGGAGTTGTTCAATAAATTAGTATGATATTAGTAAGTGGTGTTTTACATTGATAGATTGGTAATAAAATTAAATCAAATTGGAGATTCTAAAATTGATTAATTTAGCTAAATTTTTAAATTGGACTGATACCTATAAAATTTATGATTTAATGTCAAAATTTAATATTATTTAAGATTTATAATTGGCCAAATACTTATTAAATTTATATCACGCAATGCGGTATAATATATTCTCCCATAATGTTACAAAAAACATCTGTAATTTAAAAAATAAAAATTTACGAACGAAAGAAAGATTCTTTCGACGAATTGAAAAGAAATTTGATGCGATCAGAAATTTTATTCAAGTGTCGTAAATTCGTTGGAGTAGGAATTCTCGTTTCTCTATTTTATGGGGCGAATTCGTCAGGTCTTTCATTCCATGAATACAAATTGCTTTCATTCCGGATATCGTCGGACAATTTTTCCATCGTTGGCGCGTCCAGTTCAAGGTCGATTGATTCACTTTGATAACCTTGATCTGTGAATAGTGGGAGACTGATTTTAGAAACGTATTAATAAATGTCGCCGATTTACCTATAACGTCACGATAAATCCTTATTTTTTGAATTATCGTCACCTCTGACCGCTGTCTGTCGTTTTCTATCTCAAATAGAATAAACCAGAAAGAGAGAGAGAGAGAGAGAGAGAGAGAGAGAGAGAGAGAGAGAAAGAAACATTACGATACGAATAAATTTTTCCTATTTACAGAAAGATCGTTCGTAGAAACAAATATAAAATAACAACAATTAATAATGATATAATTTCGAATCAAATGATACTTTATTTAAATAATACATTATTCTATCCAACCCTGTCGCATAACACGAATTTTGATATTAAATGTATATTTGAATATATTTAATATATTTTCTTTTATTTAATAGATAATATATTTTTTATATTATCTATATATTATAATATATTTAATTAATATATATTTAATGTACTTTAATATATAGATAATATATAAAACATATTATCTATTAAATAAAAGAAAATATATTAAATATATTTGACAGGCGAAAATTCATTGAAAGAATTATTAGAGAGAAGGAAAGAGAAGGGTGGATTTATCCGAAGTCCGAAATACAAAGTAAAATAGTCCACGTCCCACATTAAACTGATCAATATCGAGTGACTTGGGAATAATTTATCGCTTATAAAATTATGTAACACCTAGATACATAAATATCTCACGAACGAACGTTGATGCATCTTTTAATCACCCTGTATATACAACGTGACTCATAACTCATCACAAACGATTCTTTTCCACGAAAGAAGAACAAAGAAATTTGTCTCTCGGCAAATCACATTAAGCCAGATAATAATTCGTGAATTCCTTTTTCTTAACAAAAGGTCAAATTTATTTTTGTCGACGTCACGTTTTTAAGTTGAGCTCGATGAATTTTTCTTTACATCTTCTGATTTTTATGGGAATGGGGATAAAGAAAATTCATCGTGAACTTAAACGAGTTCGAGAAGTTAAAAAGCAATATGCAGTTAGGTTATCGTATTTCGCGTGATTCTAATCTTTTTTTTATTTCATGAAATCAATATCTTCTGATTACTTTTCTTCTGTGTATATAATGTATACTTACAAAACAATAAAAACAACGTACAGTCACCTCACAAATCGAGATAAGGAATGTACAAGGATTAAACCCTTGAAATGAATGAAATGAAATGAGTTAGCAATTTTTTTTTATTTTTATTTTCATATGAACTAAATAAAGAATCCGATATAAATACATTCCCGTGCAGAGGAACGAGTTATTCTGCGCAAACGATTGCGTAGGCAGCTTTATTCACGATGTTGAAGCTTTATTCAAGATATTAAATATAAATAATCCGCAAAGCACACGCATCCTCGGACACATCCTCTAAATGGCCCTTCCTCTTCCTTCTGGGTTCCCGTCCGTTCGATGAGAACTCGGCGCGAAATTAGAAACTCGATAAAAATTTTAATTAGGTAAGTTTACAGCCGCGGAAACGCGATTGGATTTTCTTTCCGAGACACCTACCGACGATAAGAGTATTATCGAGTATCCGGGCAAACATCCGTAATCTGTTGTTCGCACGAAAATAACCTCGACGAAGATTTGTATTTTAAAACGAACTATCATTCGTAGCTCTCTCAGGCGATTTTCATTATCTCGTCTTCAAGTTGATTAACGTTAAAATAATAAATTGTCAAATATATCTGCAAGTTGTTAAAATAAATCACAAATACAACAATATCGAAATATAATATTAATTTTTACGTCAGTTAGTATTGATTTCTACGTTGTTAGATTATTGTTATTTGTGCAAATTTATATCGTTACATAAAGCTACATAATATAATAATTATAAAAATATAATTAATATTGGTTACTTCCCCCGACGACTTGTTGTTCGTTACGAGCGTATTTATGAATATGCAGATTGTAGAAGCGTTTTAAATATTCAAGAGAAAAACTTCGGTTAATGAAGTTCCTTCCAGTTTTTCCTTCATCTAATTGGATGAGACGCGTTTGTCATAGCGGTCATCGTGCACATCGATCATTTCTGCTGCGTATTAGCTCTCGCTATCTTAATCGATTAAGAAGCAAACCATGTTTCCACGTAATGGACGTCATCGACCGATTAAGTGTCGCGCGTTGCACGTGAGCCGCTCGAAAAAACTTGAGATCATCACTTACTGTGTCATAGATGCACGATAAAACGATCGTCAAAGTATATATTCTTACGCAAGCCACTGACCTTTTTTATATTAATTCGCTCGCTTTGTTTCGTTTTTTTTTTTTATCTCTCTCGATCGAAGAACTTGTGTATTTCGAATCTCTTATTAGAGTCACGTGCAGATTTTTCTCGGGTTTGATCTCTTGCAAAATGTAGATAATAATTTAGAGAAGATCGAACGATTCACGAAAAATCCAATTTTGATTTCGTCTGAATTTCGCAATTTCCTCTATTTAAACCTGAAATTTTAATTATAGGTATCTTCTAAACGCAGAATATCAATTTTCTCTATTTATAGTTCCGAGGTTCCAACGTTCTGCATTTAAGCCCAAAATTCGAAAAGAATCCCAAGGTAAAATTCCAAATCTCTCTGTTCAAAGTGAAAATCTCAGTTTCCTCCAGTTCAAAATTCCTAAAGTCTCAGTTTCCCCTAACATCGCAAACCTAAAGTCGCAGCTTCATTTGAGTCGAAACTGCAAATTTTTTTTTCCCCCAAGATGTAAATGACGAAAAATTCCAAGACGCCGCAAGTTCTCCCATATAAATCACGAAACTCTTGGGAACTTCTCTTCAGAATTCCAATCTGTTTTTAACTCGCGCAGAGAGCCGCGTATCACCACGCTCCACTGCGTTCTCCATCCGCCTCTATCTGCCTCCCCGGTTCAGATATCGCGCGTATGCGACCACGGCCGATGATGATGGCCCGTGTTGCGTCAGAGCCTCGACAACCTTGGACTTGCTCGCGTAGTCAGGACGACTAGCCAGCCGTAGTTCCTACGGGGCACGGGAGGACTCAGCGTGTCCTTGTCTCCTGCAGCCACTTTACTCCAGTAACACAACTAATTAAGCAATCACAGTCATTATCAGATGCCCGTGTCGGATGCATCGCCAACCTGTAACGAACAATTATCCTTTCTTCCCTCTTGTTTCTTCTTGCGTTTCGACATAGTCACCATTAATGGATTTTATTATAGTTTGTTGCGTAATATTAGCTTTCTCGCATAAATTTTTATTCGCTCCAAACTTGATTGTTACTTTTAACCTCTACCGTGCCACGCACGTCCCAAATTGCAATGTTTTCTCAATTTCAAGTATGTTTAACATTAGAATTGCCGACGATCGAAGCATAAAAATCAGAGACATCGAGGTCAAAAAAATTTACAATACAATGGAGAGTGTACAAGCTTTTGTTTATATATTTTACAAAAAATTATTTAAATCTTCTAAAAACGCACTGTTTCACGCCCATAAAATGTCCAACAAAAATTATAAATTGATCGTTTTGACCACTCTGGCAATTTTAGTGTTAAATGTGACCCAGGCAAAACAAATGATAGGTTTATTACCTCTCGATAATTTCTATCGACATGAGTTCAAAAGAAAAAGAAAGCGACGAATTATTGTATGCGGTTCGGTCACTCGTTACGGTCCGCGCAACCAGTTGCCAGCGCAAGGGGTTAATTCGTTGTATCATTAGCTCGTTCTAGCTTTTAGAATTTTTATTTATTCGAAATTCTGGATTTCATTGAAAATTTTTTGACGTCAGTTATCTTGTAGACTACGATCTTCAGCCTTTTGAAAAATTTTCATTCCACTCGCTGAGGATCAACTTTTTAGTCCTTTAATCTTTTCGATTGTTACAGGCTGTTATCGAGGCTTTCTTTATTTTTCAAGAATGATTTATTGCGAGTAGGTCTTCAATAAGGTTACGCAAGATTACGTGTTATTCTCCACACGTGGAGAGGCGCGAAACAGCGTTAGATCAAAGGAAGCCGCGTGGCGCTATTCACTAGTGACGTAGACGGATGCTCCGGAGGCCTTTGCGCGTTTCCGATAGCGGAACTCTGGTCCATAGAACCAATGAAGCTTCTTCCACGCGTGTCCCGCGTCAGACTTATTTGTCCCTCGCGTAAACTCAACGAGATCAAACGACTTTCACGGTGGCCCCGAGAGTTTACGCTCGCGTTTATGCTCGCTTCTTCACGCTTCACGCGAACTGTCTATAGTTCAGCGTTGTTAATTTTAATTAGAAAGAAAATCAGCGAGAACGAGAATATAAAAATGTGAAATGTGAAATGAATGGAATAATACAACTGCACAAAGGTATCCAAGACTTTCACCAGCAAACACCAAACTTTAACAACAAAAAAGAAGAACCGGTCATACCAAGCTAACACATGAACACAAAATTAAAAAAACTACATCACCCACCTGCACTCATTGCAATAACCATCCATTAACAATAATCCACATAGTACTGCACGAATGCCACACCACAGAAACCCAAAGACAGAAATACGGAATCGACGCAAACCTGACTTTTCAAAATGACGTACAAAGAGTATTAAAATACCTCGAAAACATAAACTACTACACACATGTCTAATGGCACCGTCGTCGCTAATTACCTCATTGTCCATGACGACATTAAAGAAAAATAAAAGAAGAATAAAAATGTGAAATAACTTTGCTCAGAAATTAAATTGAGATTGTAATTTCGGTAACGTGGATTCGATTTAGATTTAGTATTAAATTGGAAACGAATTACGTACTACATAGATTGATGATACGGGATTTGGAATCACTTTGATCGAAACTCCGATTTTAATTTGTTGTTAACAAAATACCGTGGGAATTTTTTTTTTTTTTGACATGTAGAAATTATAATAGTGATTTGTATCTGTCAGTTCTACAAAGTATCTTTTAAATCCGAGAAATCTTGGACATAGAAAATTCCTACAAAAAGATACGAATTATTTTAATTACTCCAAGTAAATGCACAATTTGAACAAATTGTCCAATCGATCCAAATATTGGCGAGTGAAAAGAGAAACGTAAGAATAAAAAGAGGAAACAGAAGACGGTATTCCATCGTTTCACGAAGCATTTACGGCCGGAAGTTATCGGACAGTTCCGTTACGTTCGGTTCGTAAATTCGATTAACGTGATTAATGGCAACGGTATGGTAATCCCGTGGATCTCAACGAATGTCAAAACGTTCGCCAAACTTCGCGAGAAACGGCGCGACAATGCGCAAATTGTCGGAGAATTTATTCGTGTTTTCGGCTACGAAATCCTCGCTAAAAGCAACGCGCCAACAATGGATGGAGCGATTCTCTCCATCCTGTTTCCCGTTTCCATTCGTTTCCGCTGTCGCGACGGTGAAACAATGTTTATTTGTTAACGATAGATCTGGACGAGCTACGTTTTAATGGGCGACGAAACATACACATAATCATTTAGAAAATTTTCACGGCAACTCGAGAAACATTCGAGACAATGTGAAGAGTGTGATGAGTTAAATTTACTGTCTTTGCCTCTTTTTTTTTTTTATTTTGTTCTCACTCTTTCGAATTTCTCTTCCTTTCTGTATAAATTGCACAATAAAGAAAAATGGTATTTTTTAAACTTATCGAATCTTTATCCTATCTTTCTGCAACAAGTGAATTTATAAAAATGAGCCATTTTTTTCTTCTTCGAAGTATTAATGATGCATTTAGGTAATAAAGAAATTAATAAAGAGCGAAGTTAATCAGTGTGGCTTCTATGGTATATCTAGAGATTTGAGTTTGACGAGTATATGTATATTGAAGTGAAGAAGTACAGTTTTTGAAAATATACAATTTTCCCCAGAACTTTTTCTCAACACGTCATTAATGTGTTTTATCTAAGGGATGAAATATTTAATTTTGATTAACAAGTATTATGTTACACTTTTTGTTTTATTATAATATTCGTACTGTTATTTATGATGTACCATTTTACATTCATAACATCGTGGTGCTTTGTAGTAATTACATAATATTTCTAATAATTATTTTATGGTACTGTCTCTATTGCAGTACAGACAATAATTCATCGTTTTAATTCGTCTCGTTTTAATCACTGTGAAATATTCGTGAAAATAGTGGCACTCAACGTGCTAAACATTCAAAATAAGGTAATCAATCACACGTTTAATCCTCTCCAGCGTGTCATGAGGACGCAATATATCTGTCTTCCTCGAAACTAACGAGGATGATAAATATCATGTAAAATTGTGGAATGTTCTTTCTGTGGAGCACCTAAATTTCTGGTAACGCAAACAGCGTTTTCACTTTCCGCAATATCTCGATAATGGCCGATCGTTTCTGAGGCCCGTTTTTAAAATTGGAAGCACTCCAGAATGGTGTCGGCGGCGACATTCCGCTAGTAGAAATTTATTTTTGCTCCAGCCGGGCACAAAACATCGGGCGCGTATATTTTCGACGCGTATCTCACCCGTGCCTTTCTCTTGTTTTCACTTTTAATAGCGACGATAAGCCGAGGCTTCCCCTTTCTTCGTGCCTCTGGATCGTTAATCTCGTTTAAGAGATCCCGTGTTAATCGGAGCGCGTACCGATTCTATTCGAGTTCTTATTAGGGGATCTTAAGCTTCTGTCACTTCGAGTTAAGTTTTCGAATTTGAATTGAATTTGATTTATAATGTAACGTGTAATTTGTGTTGTTGCAAAGTTACGAAAGTCAGAATCTTTATTTCTCCAAATTTATTCTCACCGACTATCGAAGTTTCATCGACGATAATTGAAGCAGATTTTCTTTGGAGAAAGCGAACGATTACCTAGAAAATGATTTTTGATAAGAAAAAGATAGACTGCGGATTTTTCTTGCACGATACTGATGTTCTTCTAAATTTTAAATCCCCTCGTCATAAATTATTGCTAGATTATAGATTTTTTATGCGAAATGCAGTTTACGATTAAAAATGTAATCGCTTAATCAAATGAATATTAAATACGATTAAAAATAAATTGATTGAAACGTAATCAAAAATGTTAAACGTTTACATTATAGTACATCCTTTTATGTGCATTCTCTGCACGTAATTTGTACTTGAAAATTCCCTACAGTGTAACTACTACCATTGAAAATTATTGATCGTTATTGATCAAATCCTACGTCACCCCCTAATAATATAAAATTGAGTGAAAAATTACAGAAAGAGCGTTCGCTTTTTTCAAAAGTGCAACCATGGAAAATACTTTCGGATGAAATTTCGATCGAAGAGGAATTCATGGTTTCAGCGTTGTGAATCACTCCGAGAGCCAGACAACACCGGCTCGTATTTCGCGAAAAGAGTTCGAATTCGTTGGCAAGTTTTATCCGGCTCCGCCCGACTAATTCAAGTAAGATTCCTTGAATAAAGTATCCCCGGTTTACGATTTCTCTCGCGTAATCCGCTGTCTGTGAGAGAATATTGTCGCCATCGGACAATCGAGAATTGTCGGCTGCACGGAGTAACTCACATCGACGAAAGTAATGGAACCGAGTGTTTGGACTTTGCGGATTTACGACGTGATCGTTGTGCTTCAATAATTTCCGTGTCAATAATTTTCTGCATTTTAACGAAAAGATGAATTCATAAATTTACATAAATCTTCTATGTTAGAAAATACTATAATGCACATTGTTTAAAAATTTTTCGAAGGATATAATTGTTATTGAAATTTCTATGGGTTTTTGTATGCTGAAGAACGATCATTAAAGTAATGAAACGATAGACAAACATTCGTTGAAATACATAAATAAATTAAAGTGACGATAAGTGATAAATATCTATGAAGCTTCAGCCGGTGAAGAAAAGAAATCATTGTCATTAGTGAAACGAAAAAGGTCCGTAAATAATTATCTTCCTCCGTAAAATATGTAAAATATAATAGAATGAAATGGAATACATGTCCCTTTAAGCAGGCGAAAGTCGTGGAACAAGATTAAGATTTTTATCGATATAATTAGACATAACAACGATAACAGCTCTATAAAGTTTTACAATCCTCCTTTCGTTTCATTCACATTTCCAAGGGTTTCTTCTACCTGTATATCTCTTAATCAAGCTATAACTACGAACGAAGTTAGAATAAAATATACATCAGGAAATAGTAAAACTTTTACGAATATAAGTAATTATGATAATAGTCCTTCTTCTCTCTCGTTTATAGTCGTTTCTTCTGCATTTGTGTATCTTTTAATTAATCTGCAATCTAACTACGAATGAATACGAATGATTTCAACCGCTGACTATAAACTAAAATCAGACTAAGATTGAAGATAATTTCAAACACGATCGATCATTGATCGACCATTGACTCTTATTTTCTCTATTGTTCGTAGCTGCGAGGGTTGCAAGGGTTTCTTCAAGAGGACCGTACGCAAGGACCTGTCGTACGCGTGCCGCGAGGAGAAGTCGTGCATCATCGACAAACGACAGAGAAACCGATGCCAGTATTGCAGATACCAGAAATGCCTGGCGATGGGCATGAAGAGGGAAGCGGTCCAGGAAGAACGCCAGCGTACCAAGGAGAGGGATCAGAGCGAGGTGGAGAGCACCAGTAGCTTGCACTCGGACATGCCGATCGAGCGCATCCTCGAAGCCGAGAAACGAGTCGAATGCAAAATGGAACAGCAAGGGAATTACGAGGTAAATATTAATTAAAACGGAAAAGGACAAAAGCGGAAAACAGTAGAATTGGGAAACAGTTCACGACGTTGGTTGCTCGGTATAGAAATCTTATTTCTCACGAGTTCACGACCCGATCTCGTCGTAATTGTTTTTCTATCTTTCGGTGCTCTGATTTTGAATTGACATTTTTTGGCACTTTAATTCTTTTACCGTCACGGGCTAATGCTGGCACGGTTACGTCATGCTCGATGCAATGCTCTGGGAAAGACAGGCGCGGCAAAAGAATCGGGAGAGAAATACAATTGCAGTGTATTACTTGATTTAATACTTTTGTTACATTTTTTTATACATTAGAATGGAACATTGGAAGCTCAGACATCTTCTTTTCATTTTCTCCAAAGAAAATTTCTTTTTAATTTTTTTTTTAAATATCAGTTTGCTTTTCGTCGTTTGTTTTCTTGTTTTAAAACAGGGATATTGAGCAATATATGAAAGAGAGAATATATAAAGTTGTCAGTCTGTTAACTGAGTGATTAATTAATTAAAAGATTGAAGGAATGATAGAGTGGAGTTTTTAATGTTGCAATTACGTATTACAACTTTGATACAAGTATACGATAAAATATTAAAAAGTTCTCACTTAATGTATTTTTGTTTCTTGTACCAAATTATATTACATATTATATGATGTATATATTGTATATCATGTTTTGCAAAGAATTGTGCTCGTAAGATTGGAACGTCAGTTTTATAGACTGCATACGGTTGCTTCGGGACGAAATCAATTTATTTATCATTGAACCCCGGACGAGTGATTGAATTAATCTCGTTTGAGATATCCTTTAATGGCGATCTGATATGATCGTTTCGTTGTGCAATGCAAATTAAAAAATTGATCGAGTCGTGCATTGCATCGATGAATAAGCTGCTCGAAGTAATTGAGGGCGTTTAATAAAGAGGTCTTCCTCTCGTTGGAGAGAATTAAAACAATTGTGTCTTTTCTTCTCAAAAAATTCTACTAAATAAACGTCTTTTACCAAGTAGTTTCAAAAATTCGTAATAATTACAGTTTAATGTCTCTTTTTCAAACCTTATTTCCTTTGAGCAGTCTATTACCACGTCCCAGTTAAAAAATTGGATAGTACAAATCCTACATCTTCAATCGCAATGGCCTCTTTGACGTTTTTTAAATGATACGTAACAATAATAGCATCGAAATAATTTGTTACTATTAAAAAATCGGATACGATAGGAATGAATGAATTATAACCTATTAAATTTCACAAGTTTCTAAAATGAATTATAAAATAATTGTTAATTTATAAAATAATCGTTTATAATAAATATGCAGCGTACAATTAACAAGTTATTAATAACTGATTTAACTAATAACTTTTGAAATTATGTAAACTGCTTCTGCATGGGAACTTTATAATTTCCAACTTATAACTCGCCAATTTATTAATGTTATGGATATATCAAAGCAATTATTATGCAAGAGAGTCAGGATCATATATTAACAAATTTCTAAATTCCAAATTTGAGATTAATTTAACTTCTCTCTCTCTCTCTCTCTCTCTCTCTCTCTCTCTCTCTCTCAATTCGCGTTTAGCTCTTTGAAAGTGTACTAAAACAAAGATCTGTAATATTTCGATTTCAACGTAAATATACTATCAAACACTTTTGTGTTATTTCAATTTTAAAAAATTTCTTTAACGACAGAGGAACAGATTGAAGATGATCAAAAGAGCGCATCGAAAGGTTAAAATTAGAGATGGGACATTCGGAACCTCGAAACTCAAGAGTTCCTGCTATTTTTGTGAAACGACGATATAAGAATATTGTGTCAATTGTGAATTTATTTTCACTTAACTAGCAATCCGATTGAGTTTGCGTTTAAACTCTGAAAATTTAATTATTGCAAACCAAAATGATGTTATACAGTATTGAGTTACAGCGACTTTGAGTTTAACAAATATTTCCTGAAAAAAAAAAAAAAAAAAAAAAATATTTCGAGGCAAAGTTTCGAACTCGAACTTTTCACCAATCTAAAAATATTAAATTTCGTTCCATCTCTATATAGTTAAAACAACCATCGGAACAATTCAATTCGACGAGCAATTTCTTTTTCTTTGCTATCCAGTTTTTTTTTCTTTTTTTTTTGTTCTGTCCCTTGTCCCACATATGTTTGAACAACGACGCCGTGAACTGATTTTCGTGGAATGGTTGTGCGTAGCTGTTCCACGAAACGCTCCTCCGATTAATTCGGCATCTCTTGCAATGCACAGAATGCAGTGTCGCACATTTGCAACGCCACGAACAAACAGCTGTTCCAGCTGGTAGCATGGGCGAAACACATCCCGCATTTTACGTCGTTGCCACTGGAGGATCAGGTACTTCTGCTCAGGGCCGGTTGGAACGAGTTGCTGATAGCCTCCTTTTCCCACCGTTCCATCGACGTGAAGGACGGTATCGTGCTGGCCACGGGAATCACCGTGCACCGGAACTCGGCGCAGCAGGCTGGCGTCGGCACGATATTCGATCGAGTGCTTTCCGAGCTTGTGTCGAAAATGCGCGAAATGAAGATGGACAGGACGGAGCTTGGCTGTTTGAGGTCGGTAATTATTATCTTCTACATATTCTGCATATTAACCCTTTGCATTGCGAATTTTTCTTTTTTTTTAATATTATCAAAAAAAAAAAAAAAAAAAAAACAGTTCCAATAAAATTGCAAAATAAATTATAAATATAAATATAAATGTATTATGTTTTTTTTTTTTTTATTGTGCTATGAACACAGTTCGTTTCTCTGATACAAATTTTACGTTTTGCTTGTCCGGTAATTCTTGTCGATAAATATATGTGACTCTGTGATAGATTCGAGCAAGTGCAAAGGATTATAGCAGGTCCATCTTGCAGCAGGAAATGTGGAACACTGACAAGAAATTCGATATTAATTGTTAAAAATATTTTCGCAATTCTTGTAGTAGTCTATCTCCCGTGTAATTTGAAAGTTACGTACGTCTACGTATGTATGTTTCCACAGTTTGAATACATTATCTCCTATATTATTACCAGAAATGCGAGATGAATTATCTGTTTACAATTATTAATTATTTTAGATTGGAGCAAATGGGTACAATTATTTAATAATCTCTTTCTTTTATGAATAGATATTATTTATTTCCAATTTTAACATACCAGATTGACGAAAGAAAATTGTTCCTCGAGCTTTGTAACAATACATCACGAGCTAAACATGGAAATATTATAATGAGATATAGCATTCTTTTACTCGTACTTTTTACATCGATTTTTCAAAAGATGATAGTTTTTTATTATTCATACTTCTCGATAGTCTTCTAATTAGAACTCTTCAAATCTGAACTTGTTTCAGGTAAATGTTTATTTATTTCATTTATCTTCGTCGCTGAGTTATATAATTTTCAACCACATTAATAATATAGTATTAATTATACAGTTTTTCAACATTAATAATATAGTATAGAGGTAATCGCAGGATCAAAATTGAAAATGATTGCTTGAAGCTTCTTGTCTTGAAATCTGTTGAAACTTCCACGATCCAGTTCTTTGCGATTAAGTCCGAGGATTCAAAGCTATCGAGAAGCAACAGTTATCTTTAACGTTTCGCGTTATTAAATTCACTTCTCCATTTTTCCCTCCCCGAAATCACGTTCATTTATCGACCAATAATTAATTACGAACAGATCTATAATACTCTTCAACCCCGAGGTCCGAGGACTGAAATCCATCCAGGAAGTGACGCTGCTCCGCGAGAAGATCTACGCAGCTCTGGAGGGTTATTGCCGCGTAGCCTGGCCGGACGACGCTGGAAGATTCGCGAAATTGTTGTTACGCCTGCCAGCCATCCGATCGATAGGACTGAAGTGTCTGGAGTACCTGTTCTTTTTCAAAATGATTGGCGACGTGCCGATCGACGATTTCCTCGTCGAGATGCTAGAGTCACGATCGGACCCTTAGGAGCAAAAGGTGTGCCGCGTCTTGGGGCACACCGATTTATAAAAAGATGGAAAAAAAATTATATATATATATATATATATATATATATATATATATGCACATATATACATATATATATATGTATACCCATAGATATATAATATATCAAAAAAAAAGAAGAAAAACGAAGAACAGCATTAAAGATATACATACATACATACATACATATATATATATATATATATATAGTATGTATATATGTAAGTAAGTAGTGTGTGTATGTAAAAAAAGAAATTTCCGTCGGAAACTTCATCAATAGACATCTCTCGGTGGTTGCAAAAGGGGGAAAAAAACATAAAAAGAAAAAAAAAATGATATTCTCACAAAAGTCGAGTGAGAATGGAATTTACTTACGTTTAGCGTCTTCTTCGCCGTTTTATTTATATCTTGTTCGTTAGCGCATATTATAATTCTTCTCGTCGATTCGTATCGAGAGCATGCCGGAAGTCGAGCCACGAACGCACTAGCGGAGAACGGAAGAGCCACACGAAAGATTTCTCGAAACGATCGGGGAATTCAACGAATTTCCGAGGTTTTCTCGAAGTAAGTTTGCTCGTTACAACGATCCGAACGATCTCGCTTTGCATTCTTTGAGTCTATGAGTCGATGACACACGTCACACGTGTGTGTATCCGTGCTAAGTTCTCACGCGTGACGATTTCCTCTACCGGATATTGCCGATATCCTCGATTCGCTTTGGACTTCGGACTTTGCACTCACGTCGACAATCGTTTTGCAGCAACCCTGCAACCACGTGCAAGTTCCTAAGAACGCTGTTCTCTCTCGTGTTTCCCCCCTCCCTCCCCCAATTATCTGTTTCGTTGCCTGTTTATCGCACTTTGTATTTTATCTCTTCTCATCGTTGACGTGTCAGTTTCAATCCGAGTCTTTCAAAATGTATAGTTGTACGGACGACACGATCCTCCGACGATCTCCTCTCCCCTCCATCTCGGTACAGATTGCCGATATTCGACGCGGGTGCAAATCTGTAACAAGCGCAAGCCTATCGGATATTTTTACATTCCAACGCTGCCTCGATTCGGATCGCCACTTGAAAAAGCTACAATTGCATGTAGATTATTATTATTATTATTATTCTTATTCTTATTCTTATTCTTATTATTATTATCATTATTATTATTATTATTATTATTATTATTATTAATTATTAAGTACTATAAATTGGAAATGTTTTACACATGTGTGCATTATAATATGATAATTTATTGTTTTGTATTTTAGAGTATAGAGGAAAAAGAAATAAAACTTATTAATTCATTACTAATTATATATATTATGATAATTCTTTATATATATATATTATATGTATATGTAAATGTATATATATTATATATATTATATGCATATGTAAATGTATATTATATATATACAACTTACGTGTGTAACAAGAAATACCGAGGTCGTAACATATGACTATGTTAAAAAAACAATGGGGAATAACTTGATATATCAAGAATCATTGATACATACACATTGTTGACAGATAAGTAATGTAATAAGAAAGAGAATTTCTTATTAAGAGCGATTTTTACTTTTGGTATACGGCGAATTACATGGAAATTTTCACTCAATTTATATATTAATATTTCCTTGCCTTTGTTTGCGTTTGATAGGAATTTCTCGTTATGTGATTGTACAATAGTGAACAGCGTATGTAATTTGACAGTATTTTAATCATTTGCTAAGAATTAGTAAAAATTTTCGGTTTCTCCCTGAATTTGATGCATTATGAGATGGCTCTTAAAAAAAAGAGAAAGAATATTCATTCAAGAGATGCTTGCGTATGGTTTATTCTTTAAACCTAGATATGTAAGAATTAACTGATCAAGATAGGAACAGAATTAAAATAGGAACCTTACCGTCATTGTTAGTAATTTATAGAGCTCTTTTCATGATTTCAGCTGAAGGATAGAAGAAAATGGTGGAATTTCAATTGAAAAGATTTCTATTTTATATTCTATCTTTTTAAATTTTGTAGATTACTAGTTTATTATTTCTAAATGAATAAAACAATATGAATTGTGATTGATCTAAATTCGTGGCAATAAGGATTCCAAATTTTTTATATATTTTAATCTTTTATATATTTTAATTTTAATTTTTTATATATTTTAATCTTTTCAATTAACAATTGAGAGAAAATTTAACGATATATAAATATATATTTAAAAAATATAATCGAAAATATCTTGATGCACTATATTAAAAAGAATTCCATAAATAAAAATTTATTTATACTTTTCTTGTGCATGATATTTCTGAACGTTTACTGTTTCTAAGTTGTAATATAATTATAAGATTTTAAACAAAGTAAGAAAGAGAAAAAGGAAAAAATTTATCTTAGTGTCCTTCAGTTTTAATCATCTACATAAATTACTATAGTACTCTAGAAATCATAAGGAATGATCATACTTACTTCAATAATATAAATTATAATAATATTGAAATATTATTATACATATTTCTATTTTTGCGTGAATGCTTACGATTGTTAGTTGTTGGTTATTGTTATCTATTTGATGAGAGTTTTTAATGTTATGCATACCATGAGAAAAAAAGAAACACATTATTATTAAACTCCCGATTTTTTTTTTATAAATATTGCTGGAGTTGCTATTCATTTAAAATGTCTGGTATATTTAATTGTTTCTTTCTTTCTTTCTTTCTTTTACAATTTTCTCTAGCACGATACATTGAAACGCAGGATAAAATTTCTTTGTAGTTATACAATGCAATTCCCACGATTCCGAATAATTTCTGAAAATAAATTCAAACCAAATGACTTATATTTATATGTTCTACATGAGATATTAAGAAAATCATACTGCAATTGTCCTGTAATGTTAATGTTCTTGATATTTTATCGATCAGGATGTAATTTTCTGTTCCTTTACATTCATATTGAAAAGTATACATCTTGACCAAAATTACCTCTGAATGAAACGCGATCTGCGGTCACCTCATATAATTCCTCAATACGTGTAATAATAATGATAAATAGTAATAATAAAAAAGAGATAAGCAAATGAAAGACCATTGGGATTGGTGGGCGCGAATGAAGCTACCTGTGAATGAAGTTTCATATAAATATATAAATGTTAAAATGATGATATCTATACATACATGCATAATAATATATGAATATATAAACAGAACTCTCTCACGAATAATAATTGAGAACCTCAGTAGCGGTCAGTAGAGTAACAAAGATAATGGCAGAATTTTTAATGTCCTATGATTAAATGTATTAAAGGTAAGAGATACAACGCGATGAATCCTGGAATGTATCGGAACACGAAATTTATCAGATAACAGCATGCTTCTCATAATGAACTGATGTTGTACACGAACCGAGAAATTGTGTATACGATTGTAATATCAATGTAAATTTAACGCTTTTGCCATACTTCTTTGAATTATTATAGAAATCGTACGATGCTCAAATTGTATGTAGTGATGTTTTACTTAGTAACACAGTGTCCTAGAATGAATGAATGCGGTGCGTTGTAAACCTTCTGTATGATCATTGAGATATTAAAATAAATGGAGAACAAAATTTTACGTTAAATGAAAAATATGTATATTTTCCGTCGATATTGCGAGGAAATGCTTTTTACTTTCTATGTATCTAATTGTTTAGATGATTAACAAAAATACGTCCATGCTCTGTATTTTATATCTTTATATTTTTCTTGTACTGAAACGAAAATGACTAGTATTATTAAAAATTAGAATTTTGGAATTATATCGAATCATAGCATATTATGGTAGTGTTGAGAACGTTTCGCACGCACCCATTCTGCATAGACCAGTACAAATAAGTATAATATTAATAATAATAACGAATAAACTAAATGTTTGACCTTGCTAAATTGTAAGGTATATCCCACTTAAAAAATAGTAGGTGTCCTACTAAATACTGTACCTTTGACGAGTTAAGCTAAAAAGCCAGAGTACTAAAAAAAAAAAAAAAAGATCCTTCTGTGTGTATAAATGTCAAAAACTTTTATGTATGCTATATATTAATAACAAATTAACTTATGCAACTGCCATTACGATTAACTATTTTTTGGAATATTAGCACGATCTGATATTCCATGTTTTGTCTTTCTTCCTTCAAATTGAAAAAACAATGAGGAAAAAATTCTTATGAAACTGTTGTATCGTTTTATTATTAATAGATTTTATAATTTGATTGTAAATTATAAATGATGCGCAAGATTTGTAGCATTAATACGTTAAACGCCTACGCCGATTCGTACGGACCGGCACTAGACTTTTTGTTTGTACCATGTCGGTCTATACGGGTCAACAATTAACAGGTTAACAATTTTTATCGATCAAAGCCTTAATTTTTATTTGGACATTTGTTAGTTGGCCGTTCCTTGGAAAATATAATATTTTATCAAAAACCAATGTAATTTGTTAATGTAATCTAAAAAATACGTTTTTTTTTTGCATGTATTACAAAAAGTTTTACATCTTTGTTAAATTTTTTTCTAATTTTTTGCCAAATATTTTCGAGTTAGCAACGCAACATTCTCTGCAATATTTTTGAAATACGAAATTGTACTGTGTCTTTTGTGAGACTGACGATTTGTCAGCCGTTCCGGCAAATATTTTTTTTATATTTCTTTTTCTTTTATTTTTTTCCGTTGTTAGTTTAGGCTTTCACGATCAAGTATTTCACCATTTGATCGTATTGATCGTATTGAATAGTGTGAACGAAAAGATCAACATAATGTGTGGCGCTCAACGTGTTAAAAACATTAGTGAACGCAATATTTGAAAATATAGTGATTACAAGTGTATCGAGTAGCTCTTTAATATTCCAATTGAAATATAATTATTGCATTAACATAAAGATATTTGTGAATAACAATTTTAATATAATTTATTGTAACGAGATCAGGTATGTTAAATTGTTTCCAGTACATTATTTCAAATTGGGATCACTAATTCATCTTAGTGCTTAGTAATTTATAACACTATGGTTGTGCTCGATAATTAAAGCAATGTCTATATGTGCATATTTATGAACGACGAATGTGTACGTACATAAATGTTTGATTGTATGTACGTATATTTTTTGGAGTTCAATTTTACTATCTTTAAGCTGTAAATGTAATTTCTCGACTTACTCTAAAACAATAATTTGTACATCTGTTGAACGTTCATTTATTAATGTACGTGTATGTAATATGTATACGTTCACGACTGTGTACATACATACATACATACGAATTATTATTATATTATTAAAATACGCTTTTGTATGTGTAAACATGATACTTTTTCAGGTAGTGGCACATGAAAACGTATTTGGAATGCGAAGAGTTCTATATTGAATTGGAAATAACTGTTTTATAACGAACGAGAGTAATATATTCTCAAGAAAATGTGCGTAATAAATACGATAATAATGATGGATATATTATATAGAGAACAAAGAGTGTAAGAGAGAATGCGATAGTGAAATAGCGAAGTTGTTAATGGAAAAGACGCGAAGAAGTTATATTCTGAATGTACTTGTAAAACAGTATGGCTAATAACAGTCCTTCAGCAAAGAAAATATAATGTACGGTCTTGCGCCAAGAGATAAATCGTTTATTCTGACTTGTCTAAATATAATATTTTTATGAAACAAAGTGGTGATTGTTTAATTCATCATCGTATACTTGCGAGAAAGTACTATTGAAAATATTGTTATTGCAAGAAAATTAGCTGAAACAATTATATACAATCAAAATAAGAACACGGCTTGTAGGCAGTACTTATGAAAACACATTTTTATTCGTGTTGGACATTATACAGAGTATGTTTCAGATTTAATTATTATCCATGAAGACTTTTTTTCATTAACAATAATTAGACGTATATTTTGATATTTTCATCGCTGCAAACTTCTTTCCCCATCTTCCATTTTTGAATCATAAATTAAAGTCTCTAATAAGTGATCAATAAAAAAATCGAAGTAAAAAAATAATGTTACAAACAATATTACAAACGAAATCAGACACAGGTCAATTGAAGGGAATGTGCATCATCGTATCCATCTTCCCTTCATTCAGGCTACATGTACAATTATTAGCTTCTTTGAGACTGTCATCGATTGATTTAAATGAATAAGTCAACTGCATTATAAAATGAGACTGGAAGTAAAATCGTGTTTTCCTTTTAACTAAATTTCACAAGCTTTTCAGCATGTGTACAGTCTTGATTTATCTGGAAAAATGTACAAAAATTAATTTCACTTTTATTACGTATTTAATGTATTTAATAACGAGACTTTATTTATCAGTGTTTGGCTATAATAGACGCTATGTCGAAAAAGCGCACCACAGCGGGAATCTAATCACCATTTTTGTCTTACATGTTTGTGCAATGCCAAATACAAACAAGTATAAGGCAAGAATAAACATGTGTATACATACAATTCTATTTTTGAATATTATTAACACAGTTACACGTACATTAAATGATTACGGATATCAACGAAATACAAGTAATAAATATAAAACTCACAATTTGTTGGATACCTAAAATTAGTTAAAACTTTTGTTCCTCAAGACCATGTTTAAACAACATGAGTACAGGCACAGATTCACCATCGATCTCACGGTATTCCATTAATGCTACAATACCATCAATATCCATAGATTCGCCGGTGAAAAATTGTAAATCCTTAAAACGACTTAATATATCTTTCATTACTTTATTTGTGTTTAATTTGAAAACTTCCACTTGATCAGGAGATTGTTCTTCCAACTTCGCTACCAATCTAAGAAAAATTGCTTCATCAATATCATTGCTTCTTAAACATCATTTCTCATTATTACAGAAAGGATTACTTACTTTTTCATATAATCCTTCAAGTATGAGGTATAGGATTTTTTATCCGTAAAGGCAAAAGTTTCTTGCAGTCGGTGATTCATAACTATATCAACACCAGACTCCACTGCTTCGTCTGTTCCTTCATCAGCTTCTTCAGCAGATGGATTGAACCCAGCAATTTCAATGTCACCTCCTGATTTGCGAGTAATCACCTAATTATTAAAAAGAGAAAGAAATTATGATATTAATACAATGAATATAATGTGAATAAATATCTAGATAACATAACTTAAAAGTAAGACTGAAAACACTGTACCTTGCCATACACTTCATATAAAACGTTGTCAATCAACTTTATTTTGTAGGTGTCTGAGAACATCTCATCACCTGGAATGTAAATATTAGAATAAAGATATAAATTTCAATGTTACAAGATATATTCTATAATTATGTAAAATCTTACATTACTATTTATTTTCACATATTTGTACAAACTGCAAAATTTTTTAAATAATTATCTTGTGGCGGCCAAAAAATTGACTTAAAATAAAAATCTTTCATCTTTGTTAAAATATGTTACACGGATTAATGCAAATTGTATCATTTTTTTATTGAAATGAGTCATTTCGAACATATGGAGAGGTTATAAATTAGAATATTAGTTATTCGAGCAGTAAAATATTTCTACAATATGAAATATTGATAAAAATATGTTTAACGAAATATTTATATATTTAAACAGTTAAAACTGCAGTCAGGAAATATTTTATAACTATGGGTATTTAAAATTTGGATCCTCGTGATAGAAACGTCATTGCAAACCCGTTCTCAATCAAGCAAATTTTATTTCTCAACATAAGAAAAATTTTGAAAAATATTCATCACAAACAATTTTTGATGGTATTTCAGATTTACATACCGGTGAAAATATCCTTATAGATCTTCATACTGGAAGATGGAGAAAGATTTGAATGCAGCTAAACTAAATAAGACAGTCACCCTGAAAGAGCGAACCGGAAGGGAGCAAAGTACTAGAGGATGTAGCCAACTTTATTATTTTTACTCTTTACCTGTTTGCCAACATAAGGATTTAAAGTCATATTCCGGAACAAAATATTTCCATTATTTTATATACTAATATAAAAATACAATAATGTATAGATGTCACACATATTATATTTTAAAAATTATACGATAAAAATTTTTATTAAAAATAAAGTAACAAAACAATGGCAAGCTATTATAGGCGAAAAATATTGGCTTGAGGTAAAATCATGCTAACTTTGATAAAGTATTTGTTTCAGTTCCGGTCAAATCATATCAGATATTTTGGAAAAATTATCTTTACATGTATCTTTGATTTTTAATTTATATTTAAAAAAAATTATACATTGCAATTATAAATAGAATTTTTTATGGTATTATTATTTCTTCTATTTATTAAATATAAACGATTGTCAAAATCAATCTGTTACATTAGTCAAGGATAAGATAACAAAAGTTTAGGAGTTATTATGAATATGTTCATTTGCGCAGCCATTTTCAAATTTCATATTGATGCAAGTACTACCTTCATTTCGACTTCCGGTTTCCGAGTAAACGGAGCACGTTTGTGTCATGCTGTTTTGAGTACGATTTTACGAAGGAATTAATTTCTTTTTACGTTTTAAAAAAGTTTCGAAAGCTCGAATTTTATTGGAACGCATATAAAAAGCGACGAAGATGGAAAACGGGCAAGAAAAAAGTAATATTGAAATTGTGGCAAACGGCCCTACCGACATCAAGGTTAAAACCGTGATGCCGGTTTCTACCGAGGAAAATGCCGCCAAACAAACTTCCGAAGAACCATCCAGCGAACTCTTAGAAAAGATTAAAAAGCAAGTTGAGGTAGTATTTGATCAATTAGCCAATTATCATGAAACTCAAACGATCATTTTTTTGTATATTTTAAGATGTAGACTTATAAATATATGCATGTAGATATAGATATTGTTTCAATGTATTCATAGTTTTCATATAATACGTCAATAGCGATATTACTGTCCAATTCATAAAAATTTTGGTATTCTCAGTTTTATTTTGGAGACGTGAATATGCAGAGAGACAAATTTCTCATTGAACAAACAAAATTAGACGAAGGATGGATTCCTATGACTATTATGTTGAAATTTAAACTATTGGCCTCTCTGAGTCAAGATGTTGATGTTATACTAAAAGCTTTGGAGTCAAGCGAGCTTATGGAAATATCAGAAGATAAAAAAAAGATTCGTCGTTCTCCAAACCATCCTTTGCCAGTATATGACGCAGAATACAGGAAGGCGCAGGAAGCTAAAACAGTATATGCAAAAGGATTTCCTTTACGTGACACTACTATTGAAAAGCTTACAACATTTCTCAGTGATTATGAACCATTTGAAAATGTCATTGTAAGTATCCAATTCTTGTTTAATGGATGTGATGTTTTAAAAAATGGTTGAAAAAAACTGCTTTTTTATTTGATAGATGAGGAAGTATCAAGATAAAGAGAAAAAGTTGCAGTTTAAAGGTTCTATTTTTATACAGTTCAAAACTCTAGAAGATGCAAAAGCCTTTATGGATAGGAAATCTGTAAAATATGGAGACACCGAATTGATTAGAAAATGGTCGTAAGTTAATCAGATTAGAATATTTACCTATTCCATGTTATTGTGGATCAGCATTTTTCTTGTAATTCACAGGTAAACAAGAGTTGTCTCTTTTATAATCAACATAATAGTTATTCTAATTTTTTATATTTGTGACATTCAAGTGATAATCTTCAATTTTTTAAATAGAATGGTATACATTGTTTTTTATATCATTTGAATGTCAGATATAGTCAGGAACGAATGAAATAAATTGAATATTTTTTAATTATATATTCATAATATGTTATAGTGTTAAGGCTGCATATTTAATGTAATTTCCACTTATTTGTCTAAATATTTATATTTTCCATAATACAAATATACTTTTAGTATTCTTGTACGAAATAGTGAGGAATGTTTGCTTTGATACGCTTTTTAATTATTTGATTTTTGAAATGTAAGTATTTAGTCGCAATGTATTGCTATTTCGTAGAAAAAAAGTTCGACATATTATGTGTTTTTATAAGTGCTATGAAAAAAAGTAAACATTCGTTACTTTTGTGTGCAAAAAAGTTAAAACTATTTAGACAGAACAGATATACATTTGTATTGTGGAAAACATAAACATTGAAACAAATGAAAATCATATTGAACATAATATTTTAGCTTTATCAATATAATGTTAAAAAACATTCAATTTACTTCATTCAATTCTTGATATATATTTTCAAATTACATAAAAGAATGTATAGCATTCTATTTAAAAAATTTACAACACAATAAACATGAAAAATTGAAGTACATCATCATGTTGGTTATGAAAAACATTACAATTTTTTTTTCTTCACTTTCGTTTCGTTTATAAAAAAAACACTGGTCTATAATACTACAAATACGTTGTATATCTTTGTTATAAAAGTTATAATGATCTGCACAATTAAAAGTCTATGATTTAATATTGTAATATAATTATTTGAAATTTTGAAAGGGCTGACCATAGTGCAGAAAAAGCAAAGGAAAAGGAAGATAGAAGACAAAAGAGATCAGAAATAAAAGCAAAGAAAAACGAGGTTGTTTAGTATAGAATATTTTATTTCTTATATTTACTTTAATATTAAACATAGTAATAAACTGTTTAATTTTTTAGGGGAAAGAACAATGTAACGATAGTGACGAAGAAGAAGATGATAAGATTACTCCATTACCAAAAGGTTGCGTGATTTATTTTTCTGATGTACCTAATGAATGTTCGAGGGAGGACATTAAAGGACGTCTAGGACAACTTGGTGCAAATATTGCGTTTGTTGATTTTAAAATAGGTGATAAGGAAGGATGGATTCGACTGCAAGGAGAAAACACTGCAAAGACTGTAATTGACAAAATGAATGAAAACAAAGTGAGTATCTTCCGTTATTTTTTAATTCTTAATATTGTTTTATCTTATGAGTTTTTTTTTCTGTTTTACAAGATAACAATAAGCGGTAAAGAGGTTACATGTCGCGTCCTGGAAAGTGATGAAGAAGAAAAATATCTCACAAAGGTAAAAGAACAAATGGCAAATACTAGGCAAAAATACATCAAAGGAAAAAAAGGCAAAAAAGGTTAGTAGAATGGAAAATTTAGAAATAATTTTTTAATAGTATTATCTCCATAATGATGCTTTGCCATGCTAATACTGAGAAATCAGTTTTCTGGATCTCGATGAGTTAAATTCACAGATATAACTGAATTTTTTATGATCGCAAGTTTTACATACAATTAGCACAAAACATATGTTAAATTTGTAAAAATTACGTTGTAGGTCGCATCACACGAGGACAAAGGAAAAGACATAGCAGTGACAGTGATTCATTTACAGTTCCCGCTAAAAAGGGTGCTATTGAATAGTTTAGAAACGTTATTTAAATTCGACTAAAACTAAAACTGTTCTATACTTACTCTGATATACGTGTATATTAATCATATTTTTATTATACTTATGTATAAACTATGAAAAGATAGACGTTGCTATGTATTCAAAATAGGTAAATTTACTTTAAAATTATATTTCTTGTTACTCTATCGAGCAACGTGTATAATTTAAAAAGATAAAAGTACATCATGTTTATATTTGTAGTCCCACGTGTAATTTAATATTCGATTATTTTACAGTGAAATTTATAAAGATGTTTATTTATATTTCACTATTATGTGCTCAATAATACTATTTACGATTCATCTCATTCACAAAAAATATTTGACGAATATCCTTATTTTATTTTTAATAAAACGGCTAATAAAACTGTATTAAAAATGATCGAAATCGATAGTATGCGACGCTGTGCATAGTACGATTGCTATGCATAATATATGTTTTGTTCTTGATCATACTGATATGCTTCATGTGCGTATTGGTATGAAGAAAATGCATACAATCGATTAATAAAATTCAACTATATTAAATAAATGTTTTTATTTTTTTATATCGTTTGAAATTTCATTTGCAGATGTTAACGATGTTTCTTTTCTTTCTTAGAGAATAACTCTTAATCAGAAATAACGGAAGAATATTTTAACGTAATGACTATGCTATCACAGTAACATGATCTATATATCTGTGTGGAGTACATCAAGAGAATGACTGTTATATTGTACAAGTGTTATATTGTAACTCGTCATGTTATAACGTCTCCTTACGATTTTGGAAAAACAGATTATAGTTTTCTGTTTGTTTATTTAATTTTTTTTTTGTTTGATTCTTGTTTCTTGTTTCGTTAATTTGTCTCACCAATATTCAGAATTAGCCATTTGAAGTACAATTTCGAAGAAAGTTTGAATTTCATAGATACGTTGTGTAAGAGGCGGCAAAAATGGAAAACAGTTAAGAAAAAAATTGAAGTTGAAACTAATGGCGAGGGTAAAAACGATAAATGATCGCTGTTTGTAAACAAACTTCCACGGAACCACCTAGGGAACTTTTAGAAAAGATAAGAAAACAAATCGAGGTAGTATTTTATTAAATAAAATACATTATAAAAATAAAATGACTTAATATGAAAATTGTGATTTTTTTCAGTTTTACTTTGGTGATGTGAACATGCGAAAGGAAGATAGTGGCATAGTCTCTTTATATCTGTAATTGGAATCACATGCGTTGCGATAGCCGTCATGATGATGTCCTTGTCGTGTATTAGAAATCAAATTTTTATATTTCGGCAGATGTGATCGACGTGCAGATTGATGAATTAAATTATAAACATAACTGAATCTTGTATGAATGCAAATTTTACATTACAATTAAGATAAAAAAACATATTTTAAATTTACAAAAATTTTTTTAGGTCTTAACACACGAAGATAATACTAACAACACAGGTATAGTTCCTGCTAAAAAGAGGATTGCCCATCGAATAATTCAAAATTGTTCTCGGTATGTCCTCGACTATACATATATATTGATTATATTTTTATTATGCGAATATTTATGTATAATATAAATATGAAAAGATGTCAAATTGCTATATAGGCAAAATTATTTTAAGCACATGTTTCTTGTTACCGTTTTTGACCATTGTGTATTACTTGAAAAAGATAAAAGTACGATTTCGTTGATAATTGTAAATTGTACGTTATGTCTTAGTCCCATAGTAACAATACCCATTGTAACCATGTGTAACAATACATTCGGTTATAAGGATATGAATAATTATAGTAATCAGAGATGTATTTAGAAATCAGCATTTTATTGTTTTACAGTGAAATTTATAAAGGTGTTTCGTCTATTCTACTACTTGAATTTCACTGTTACGTACTCAATAATCCCGTTCACACAGTTTAACGGACAGTCAGAATACGTCTGACGATTCGTATCATTCGCAAATGATACCTGACGAATATTTTTTTTTTTTTCTTCGCGAAATGGTGTATTGAAAATGATCGAAATTGATAGTACAGTTACACGGCATCGTGTATAGTATGATTGCTATTTAAAATACAACGTTATTTGCTTTCATTAGTTCATGTGCGTATTGGTATGAAGAAAACGCGCACAATCAATTAAGTACGTTCGACTATATTGAATAGGTGTTTTTATCTTTTTACGTGATGATTGAAAATTTGTCTGTTGAAGTGCACGATGTTTTTTTCCTCTAGAGGAGAACTTGTTTCTCAGTAGAGTGATTGTTGGTGTACTGTATGTTAATATTGATAATCAGTCTGGATTATGAGTATGTCAAAGGATAAATTTTTTTAACAAATTAATATTTTAATAATTTGTTTTTGAAAATATATATAGAATCAGCGATATTTAATGTTTTTTTTTTTTAACTGAAAGGAGAATCATGAATATTTTTATTTATCAATTTCAATTTATGTCAAAAATAATATTAAAACACGCACTACATTGCGTGCAGCAAGTAAAAATAACGAAAATAGAAGAGATTTAAAGTGCTCGAAAAAAAAAAACGGAATAAGTCCCTTTATAATGTTTATAATTTACATTGCGCTTTATAAATCCAATTTGTTTAATAATTTTTAATGTATGTATAACACAGACATTGTATTCAGCTTGAAAACTTCTAGAATTATATTTGCATAAACGCGGTTGTAATCTCGTCTTAGATTACTTGGTCGAAAAGATGTAGATATTACTTAATTTAAAGGAAATTGTAACTTTATGATTATGTTTTGAGCACATGTCGTTAGAGAACTTTCGCAAATGTAGTTCAAGTTCCGCTCAAACTGAACATGCAATTTCCTTTTACTCACTTCAATCTCAAACTTTCACGCACCATTCGCATCAGTTTCTAATGCGAATACAAGAACTGGTCTTTTTCAGTATCGAGCGCTTAAGTATACATTTTTTTTAGTTTTGTTTTTCTTTTTTTTTTTTCCTTTAATTAGTGAACGATGATATCAAGATGATGAGGAGGTAACAAAATTGACAGAGTTCTTCAATTTCCGTTTCACGCGAGACGAAATAAGGTGAAATACATTCAGAGTAGATAATAATTTTCAATGATAAATCAAACTAACATTGTGATTTTTCATCCACAGATTTCTATTAATTTTGTCTACAAATTTTGCTTCTGGAAAAAAAAAAAAATCATTTCGTATATCATGTATACAGTGACGTTACGAAATGGAATTGTCGTTTCTTCAATTGTAGAAGTCATTTTAAACGATCATCTTTCCATACAATTTTCTACGAATTGTGTTATATAAATGTTATTTAATTGATTATCCCTGTGCGATTTCGTGCACAACTTTCAATACTTGGAATAGAAAAGACACGAAACGGCTTTTAAATTGTACCCATAAACGGAAGTAGGAATCTTTCACGAATCTAGTCATACCAGAAGTTATTCTAATCACGTGATCGTTGCTAATTCATTTTGGATGCCAGCTACGAGAAGAACACTTGAAAGAACACTGATTGTGAGATAATTACAGTGCTAACTCATAAATTTACATTATCGATTTCATTCTTCCTCAAATATACTGTTCGATTTGAAAGTTTTAGATACGTTTCCAACTTTTGTCTACTTTCGTGTGTGAGATAAATGTCGTAGAGATTTTGAAATTTATTTCAAATGTGTAAAATAAAGAGCAAGTGAAAAGAAGAGACATATTTGTTACGTTTCAATTATTCAACAATATATTTGTAGAAAAACAAAACCAACATCAGATATTCTGGAAAACACTCCACTCTTAGTTAACAGTTATAGTGTTCTTGTGGTCAAGTTACACGTTTCGTGAAAAGAAATAGCTCGGTGAAATTTGATCAACTCATTTCGAATGCTTCTTCTTCGCAATACATAACTTTGATAGCGTTTTGTGACAGAAACGCACTATATAAAGAAACACATTCAAGATGCTGCATAGAGTTAATAAGGTGCATAATCGAGGAACACTCTTAGTCTCTCAAGCCTTTCTGTAAAAGCACTTTGTCCTTTCAATGACATATGGCAGTTATCGCTGTTTATACATCAGAATAATTAAAGGATACTTAACATACAATTGAACGTCGCTTTAAAACTGATTCTTCCTCGAGAGTAATGTCAACAGTCTCCATTGTTCATTAATGTTTCACTACAACTTTCAAGAGAGAATTCTCTTTGCCCAATTCTCTGGTGCCATGATCGGATGACACTTATCGTTAATCCACATTCGTGCAAACTTTTCTCAAAACTTTGACTCGCCGATCGCCTCGAAATCTACGAAAGTCACCTTCTTGGTTTTCATGTTGCCCTCTTGGGGCAACCCCTAATGCTATACTGATATCTCCTGTATTTGCACACGTTTTTTAATCGTATTGGTGCCACTGCTAGTGCTCAAAGAGCTGGTCGTTCTCGTGGGAGGTTTCGGCGGCATGGGATCCTTGTGGATGGCGTTGCTGGTCCCGTGGCCTGATTTCTGTTCGTTCTTCGGCTGTTCGTCGAGGTCCGTTGACTGACTCTGAGCAATCTGTTGGTGTTCCTGGATCGAAGGGCTTCTCGCGAGAGTAGTGTACGACGGCGGTGGTTCCTGCGCTGGCCTTGGACTCTCCGGAGCCTTCATGGACGATCTGGTTGTCATTGGCAGTGACTCCTGCCCGTTTGGAGTGCAATCCATCGCTGCCCTCTTCTTATCGCGATCCCTCTGATAGTAAATGCCAGCGAATATCAACATGTTGAGGACCAACAGAATGCAACCGACCCCCACAGTGATCGCAAGCGCTGTAGTAGTGCTGTAGTAATGACGAGAAGCTAGTCTTTGTAACAGTTCAGCGTCGTCCTCCGAGTCGTCCAAAATAGGTGTAATGTCTTCGGTGATAGTGTCGTCACCTGTGGACGTGCTGCACGCTGTTGTCGACGAGGCGCTTGGCTTGGTTGTTCCAACGAGGGGAAGAGGAGTGTACCACTCGTCCCGAACTGGTCCTGGAAGATTCAACGAATTTATTTTTAATTATTGAATTTCTTAATTGGAGTGGAGTGTACGTTACTTACACTGTACGATATTAGGGACAGATATTTTTTAATTGTAGACAATTCAAATGATTCCTTTTCTACAAATGTGTAGTGAAGATCACAACTGTGCTACTAGCAATGAAAAATCGTCGATATTATTTTATGTTATAACTTTGTTGTCATGCTTTCGCTGATACAACATTGACGCTTATTATAAGATATAACATACTATGGTTGTTTAAATATTTTTGTGATCTATACGAAACACGTACTTTCTAAATATAATTTTGAGTTTCTTTCAATTGTTTGTTTGATCAATGTAAAATGCTTTCTATATTAATATAGCCGTGTAACCATAATATTTGAAATTCAATAGAAAGGTGAGAAAAATTGTACAGCAAGTTTTCAGTGATTGCTGTAAAGGAGTGACTTCAATCTAATCACGAAACAAATTTTTCAATGTTTTACAAATTTAGAAAATATCTCGTTAAAAGAATAAATTCAGAACTGTCAAAGTGGAGACTTTACGTGCTGAAGCGAGAGCAAGTGAACAGTCGTATGATTTTCTTTCACGAAGTTATAACAGTTTGGAATATCGACAATTTGTCATCGTCATTGATTCAGTTATGGTTCTGTAGTGGATCTGTATGTTGACCATTACACGTGACAAGGCAATTTGAATTACTTGAGAGAGATTACCTGCATAAAAGTGGTCGCCTCTTTCGCGAAAATGATGATGCCTCATAGAGACATCGTCGTCTCCAGGCCGATGAAGTTGCGGTATCAGGTTCAGCCAAACCGCCATTTTATGTCCACGATAGTGGCTTTTCATTTTCGGTTTCATCGCTGAAAAAGGAAAAAAATCGATAATGTATTTAGTCGCCAGCCACGTATCGCGTGTGAAGTGGAAACAGAAATTTAAATAGATGAGAAATAAAATGGAAGGAACGGAAGATGGAGAGGAGCGTGGAAGAAAGGAACTTACCGATTGCGAGGTACTGTTGAGTCCCAGTCTCGTATTGTTCCCACGTGAGACCGCGATATCGCGTTTTCTCCTTCGGCGTGCCGTAATCCACCGATTCGATTTTGTGCGGCTCGTTCGGATTGCCGGTTTTCGCGAAATTCGTGAAAAACGTGAGAACTGCCTCGGCTACGCCCTGATCCTGGCGAGAGTAATTCCGAGGGAAGAAAACTCCGCCAGCCACCAGTGGCAATCCAAAGATATATGGGATATCCTCGCCGCGAATACTGCCCAGGCGCTGAAACAAAATCATCATCGGTTCGTTGGTAGGATATATACGTAACGTTTGAAACCTGAGGTGAATGTTACTCAAACGAGATTGCTACCGATAGCGGGATACACAACGTGGAGAGGAAATTTTTATATTTATGAATAGTCTTTTCTGTTAATCAGTAACAGAACATTCGGGGAAGGACCAAAGGCGAAAAATTTAGTCGAATTGAAAGAAGAATTTTGCCAATTCGGTTACTGAGAAGGACAAAAGTTTTGGAAATTTCCACGTTTGAAACATTTGAAATATTAAACATTGAAAGCTTGAAAATTAAAAGATTTGAAAATCCGAAGCTCGAAGAATTGAAAAGTGCGGAAACAAGGCTCGAAAATAAAAGAGAATCTGGAGATCGTTAAAGAAGATCCGAAAGTTAAGAAGATTGCCAAATGTTTAAAAATTAAGAAGTTCGGAAACTCCAGAGTTTCGAAATTTATTTTTCCAGGAGGGAAAGGATTAGGAAGAATTCTTCGATCAAAAATCTCCCGAGTTTTCATCCCAGAGGAGCTCGTTGTCAGCGAACGAAACGAAAATTCGTACGGACCCCCTTCGATCCAGCTGTTCGACAATCTTAATACGGATTCGATTCGATAATTGTAATTGCAAAGTGGCGTGGAATCGCGCGTAGACAATTTTATTTGTGCGTGTGGACGGGACGGCTGGGTCTCGCGATGCAAATTCTGTTAATTCAGGGCGCAAGCAAACGGAGTTTACAACTGCCTGCCGACTTAAATGTCGCCTGGATCTACCGAGAGCGCGTGGATGAGTAGATCGGTATATATATGTGCATACATTTCGAAGACGGGCCGAAGAAGGGAATAGCGAATTAGCATACTGCTCCACCGCCTCGTGTCTTGACATCTATAGAGTCGGATCGTTTAACGGATCAACCGTTTAGCTTAGCCCTGTTAAATACGTTGCAGCTTGTTCACCGAGTCCTCGAGCGAGTTTCGTTAATTCTGCTTGATGTTAAGACCTCTTCACGGCATTTAATTTGATAGAAAAGAGCGCGAAGCAACGTGGTCCGTCGAATGTCGAAGTAAACTTTCAGAATGAGTTTTGAAATTTCTTTCTTCGAAATTATGCTTTCGTAACTAGAAATTTCAATCTGCGTTACTTCTTTAAATCGTCGTTTGCCTTCATGAGGTTTCACCTAACGCTTTTCTTAGAGTAAATGTAAGGGACTGATCAATTTTGAAGTTTGAAAGTGAAAAAGACTTCGAGATTCGGCAAATTTTAATCGCGGAAGAGATTTGTAGATTGACAATGTACGAATTGAAAAAATTCGACACGACGTAGCAATTACATTGGACATCCAATAAAAACATCGATTATTGCAACACGAACGCAAAGCATTTGTTATTCAATGCGAGTTTCGACGATCATTTGCGAAAAATGTACAACGACTTGATGATTTTAACCAATTTGTAGCGCAGCTGCGATAGAGTGAAAAGGCTACAAGTATCCACTGGGTGGAGAGGCGAGAACTTAAAGTTATCAAGTTTTCCCCTCGAGATACGGTTAATAGCGATTTAGTGCGTTTATTTGCCACGCTATGACCAACTGTGTACGCACAAAGCGAAATTTAATTAAAAGGAAGTCGTGTCGCGCGCACGCTCTCGCGAAACGCTGCCTCGTATAATAAGTTTCGGTGTCGCGACTAACTCTCTTCGTAATTCGAGATAGACGGTGCATGATCAATGCACCGTCGTCTATGAATTCAGAAACACTGGAAAGAAGAATGTAGTTGTAGGCTAATTCGGTTGAAAGAAAGTGGAAATGCGATTTTTTTTTATTTTTAATTTAATCCAACGTGAATGAAAACTAGATACGTGTAAGAAGTATAAAATTCAAGAATTTGAAAATAACAGAGGTTAATGAATTCTGAAGTTCGAAAGTTAAAAGATTCAACATCTGAGCATGAATTTATAATAAATTATTATAAAGTTAGATTATAGATTGTGAGTTTAATGAATAAAATGAAGTGCATAGAATATATAAAATTCAAGAATTTGAAAATAACAGAGGTTAGTGAATTTTTAAGTTTGAAAATTAAAAGAATTCAACATCCGGTGAATTTGTAATATACCTATTTTAATTATTATTAAAATTAAATTTCAGATTGTAAATTATTGCAATTATATACGTTATATGTTATATATTACAGAACCCTGATTTATTTATGTTATTATAATTTACTTGCAATTCACAAGTTTCGAGAACTTTCAAATTTTTTTCTATTCTTTACTATTAAACTTTGGAATTTGTCAATTTCCTTAATTTCCAAATTCTTCAATTCTCTGAAACACACTCGAAAATTCTTATAAAAAGAAAGCACAATATGAAAATTAAATAAATCAAAATTTCTAGAAAATACGTCTTCCAGCAAGTAGATCTTAAGCATTTTGAGAGTTAGAAAGTTAAAAAAAAAAAAAAATAAATAAATAAAAGGGCACAGAAAAAGAATCGAACGTTCTGTTATTGTTTCATACAATCACTGAAAATACTTTTTTTCTCTCGTTTGAAGAAACGGAGCAAAAAAAAAAAAAAAAAAAAAAAAAGAAAGAAGAAAGAAAAAAGCAACGCTCGATTCTATTTGAGTTAAAAGAAAGAAACGCGTTCGAGCTTATAGCTCGTTCAGAGTGGCTCTTTGATCTCCCCGTTTTCTTGCCCGTCCATTTCCATCTTGCCGTTTTCGGGGCTCTATGCTTGGATGCTCGTGTGTCCTGACTAACCACTGCCCATGATTTCACGATGAAGTTGCTGATCTAATCAACAAATGCCTCAAGGGTCTTGGTAGAAGGACGTTCGCGTTAGTCTCGCAAGTCTCCGGTCATGTAAATTAAGCGTGATGCTACGTCGGAATTTGACCTCGTCGTTAGAATCTTGAAACTCCACGTTATTAAGTCGATCTGTCTGGTTGATTGGTGAATTAAAGCCACATGTTGAGACAATGACAATAATTAGACTACGGAGTTTTGGGTATTTACGGAAAATTTGATGGTAATCGCAATATCATGTGTGGAATATTTCATAGTAAAATGATTAAAATAACTTTATGACGACTTTGTGAAATGAAAGAAATAAGAAATTTTTATTAAGTATTGTTATAGATTGTCATGTACGATGCATTTATTTTTATCTTCAAATTTTCCATAAATGCATAAATTACCTAGTAATTTTGTTGAGATAGAAATTTGTTATTTCTTAAGAATTAATGAATAGTTTATTTCAGCGAAATTATTATTTATCTTATTTCACTCTATCAGTGAGAATTTTGATGAAATTCGTTTCGTTGTTTGTTAAGAATTGATGAATAGTTTGCAATATTGAGTTATCGTTTATTTTATTTGATTATGTATGATATGTACTATTCTATCGCAAAAATATTTGAACATTCATCACAAAATATCTTTTATGTAGATATATGTATATTATGTGTGTTAAATGAATGTGTCAAAATTATAAAAATTATTATCAGTTATTAAAATCATCGGTATTCTCATATCATATGTATTCTCCATTTTTTTGGTACATAGTGTCTACTTCATTTTAATTTATTTACCTGATTATATTGTGCGTATTCTCGCCAGCCACAAAGTGCAATATTGTACTTGTACAGAATGTACTATTTAACCAGTGATGTATTGCCCTACACAACAAGTCTGATCCTATACTAATACATTCCCTTTGCAGCGAGAATCAATGTACGGCCGAGCAAGTAGAATACATCCCTGATTAGTACAAATAACGCGAAACAAGAAGAAAAACCTCAGCGATTTCTTCGTGTTATTATAGTTTTGTAGGTTGATAGAAAAAGTGAAATGTCACGTACAAATATTGTTAAAATATAAATAATTTATTAACTAATATTGCTATTATATTAATATTAATATTATTATTGTTACTGAATGTGATAGATGATTTATATTTCTTTTCCACAATTTTAAAATTTTATTTTATTTTCATTTTCATTGTAGGGACATTTGTTGGAAAGTCATTTGCCAAGTTTGTTGATAAAAGTTCACTTTGCATTTTATTATTAAACATGTTCAAATTGTGAATCTGAAAGAATTCATTGCTGATGATCGTTTGTAACTTGTGATTTGTAAAATTTCGTTAATATTAACATTAGTAACATTAATAATAAAACAGAAATAAAACAAAATATTATATACTACAATTGCTGTATAATAATTTTATGTAAAATGAGTTTAAGCCATTCGTTCGCGCGTTTCACTTTCTATTTTCAATTGACTTCGAGAGCTGTATGCAAAATTACCATACTGCCTTTAGTATTCCGTCGAGTTTAGTGTAAAAAATGAGTGGAGGAAGGAATGGTGTGTGTTTAAGAAATTTCGCGAAGAATCAAAGAAGTCGCGAATAAACGGTCTTGGTGATGAAGACAAGGAAAAAAGAAGAAAAAGAAGTAGCTTTCGCGAGAACGGAAGTGATTCAAAGAGTCACGGTTTACTGTCGACATTTTATGCGAGCGTTTTCATCGTTAAAGGCCCCGGCTTCTTTCAAATTACTTTTAAAGTCTGTCACGTTCCTTATTTACCAATGAAAGAGAAAGAACGAGGACTGTGAATCGTACGTAACGCGAATAAAAGAACTTCCTCGAGAACATTGAGTTGAGAAATTTGTCAAGTATATACTAATTTCAATCTACCGTTTGAGGAAATGAGACGAAAAATATAGTATAAAATTATGCATACTATTTTAGTCCGCAAAAGTATTAATTGTTATAACTTTGTAAAATAAGTCACACAGCAATCCGTTTATTTTGACAATCAAAGATTTCTTTTTTTAATATATTAATAGGAAGGTATATTTTGAAAATTATAAAAAATATTAGAAACATTTTTTTTCATGGATAAGACCACGATATGTAAGAGATTACAAAGAAATTTTCTCTTTTCAAAACTTGCTATACGATTTCCCTTTTTTCCTTTTTGCTATTTCATTGAACTTCGAATATTAGGAAAAATTTAAAGAAATCCGATCGTAACGTTTGTTCAAACCTAATCCTAATACAGCAAATTCAAAGTTCAATAAAATAAAAAGAAATCGTACAGCAAGTCATTGTACAGAGGAAATTTCAATCTTCAAAATTGGCCCATGAAAAAAAAAAAAAAAAAATTTGTTCGACGTTTTTGAATTCTCAAGAGTACATTGTTACATACACGACTGCGTTTTTTACAAAGTTACACTCTTTTCTCGGATGTCGATAATGTACAAAAAGATTCTCCACAAACCTGCAAAAGGCCGGTGTCCTTCGTCTGATGGCTAAAGTGATAGAAGTACGTTTTGGCTCCTCTTCTTGCATGATAAAACGCGATCCTCATTAGAGGTGCCACGGTGTGACCGTCGCTCAATGCCTCCATCGTTGAATCCCTTATAATGATAGGATGAAGGATAGGCTTGTCCCAGTCCGTGTACTCGTTCCTCACCGCCGAGAATATCTCGTTCAAATGGTATACATAAGCGTTCCTAATGAACGTCCGCAAAATCCGATTCCGGTGATCCTCCTCGAATCCGTATTGAATGTCGTTCGCGTTAAAATCTAGATTCGATTCCGTGGTGGAAACACCAAGGATCAAAGGTACTTTGATGAACGTATCGCTGGCCCTTTCCATATCCAGCCCTGGATCGGGATTGTTTTGGTCCACTGGTAAGCCCGGCCCGATCCGTGGCACGAACCTGAAGCGGAAAACGAGGCGAATTAGCCTGGCTCGCTGCTCATCAGGGTAATAAATTGGCGTGGTGTTGCCCTGTGTCGATCAATAAGACGACCAGGATGCCAACAATAGCGAGGGAATCGTGAATTAACCGTGTTACACCGATTACCATCTTCCACTCGAACTTTGATCCGAGGGGATAAACCCTGGTGGGCGAGTATGTGATCGATCGCAAAGGGATTTTGAGGACTTATGAACGGATGACGGATTTTTCTTTGTTTCTGTACGAAGTTCGAGACAGGCTCGGGCATTGTTCAGAAAGATAATTATACATCGTCTCATATATATCGACAATGTTGTCGACGATTACCGAATAATATTTCCTCGAAATCGTTTCATTATTTTTGATCGCGAAATGAAATAACTTTTTACTCTGTACATTCATCTTTCTTTTCTTCTTCACTTCTTTTTCGTTTTTCGTCGCATTGACAGCGAGGTCATCAGCGACGACGGTGGAATTAGATATGTGTGTAGTAGTATGTGTTTTTGAGATATTTTCAAACTCTTTGTGCGTCATTTTGAGAGGTCAGGTTTATGTTTGAGTTAGTTCTGTGGTGTGGCATTTGTGCAAAATGTGGGTGACTATTGATGGGTGGTTATTGCAATGGCTGCAGGTGTGGTTCTTCTAATTTTGTGTTCGTGTGTCAGTTTGGTATGACCAAGGCGTGTGATAATTATTCCTTCTTTCCTGTTGCTAATGTTTGGTGCTTGTTGGTGAAAGTCTCGGATACAGACTTTTTTTGTGTAGCTGAGTGCTTTTAGTTGTAATCCATATTTTAGTTGTATTCGTCAGACAAAGTAATAAATTAATGGAAACGACTCGTTATCCTTCGTTTTTATTTTAAAACAAAATTTGCCCAAGCCCGTGCGAAACGCATGTTTGCGTTAACAAAGTGACAACGTGATTGATTACAACAACTACTAACTAACTATATTACATTGCAATTAATTTATGGAGCACAAAAGTTCTGCGTGATCGGCTAATAAATCAAGTTGCGAGTTGATTGTAAATTTACGAGGCTCCATTTGTCATCACTTCTGGGCGACGATCTTCAACAACGTCAAGCGTAACGAAATATGAGAGTTTTTATAAAGGGTACATCCCGTTCGGATGGAGATCCAGCCGAATTTTATTGGACCCTTTGGCGCAGAAGGCAATAATATCGGCTGACTCCAAGTTCTTCATCCCAGTGTGTGCTGGTAATCCACGAGGAACTTTTACACGAAATTTACGGCGAGCTATTCATTCATGGATGTTAGATGAGCCTCGAATCAAGATCGTAAAGAGTTACTATCTTACCGGATTTCCGGCAGTTCAACAGCCATGAGCTCGCGGAGAGAAACGCCGCGTAGACAGTCGGCAATATCTTCGTCGTTCTCGGTGGTACATCCTATTTGCTCAGCTACTTTCAACCGTAGGTCGTTCGGATCGTGAACAGACGCCCACGGGCTTAACGCAGAGCCACTCGATAGCACAACTCGATGAAACAGACCTGCAAACATCGGTCAACGGTACTTTGTTAACAAATTTAATAACGTCCCTCAAGTATCGGGCAAACAATAACGAAGATGAATCGTCCGCTTTGGAAAGTTCCCCTGCTACGTGTGTTTGAACTACGGTCTGATTAATATCGACCGTTGCTACTGAAACGACTGGCAAACCTTCTGGACAACTTCTTCGTTCCCGTGTGTACGTGGCGATAAACAGGGAATTGCTTGGTGGGAATTGATTGGTGAATTTCGTAAGGAGTAACGATTTGACGTTAGATCTGCGGAAACTGCGCGATCAATTAAATTGTTGTTGTAGGAATTTGACATAAGTAATTTTCAAAGAGACTATATTGACAACAAATTAAATTGTAATTATACTTTGCATTTTTTGTGCAAATTATCTTTTCATTGTTTCATCTTATCCTAAGTGATCATTAATATTCTGCAATCGTAGTAAGTTCAATCTGATTTTATTTTTCTGTACATTGCATCAAAAGTAGAACAAAGCAGCATCGTTATATAATCAAACTACAGAGAGAATATTATAAATTGTACATTATTTTTAAGATAAAACGAATATATAAGAATGTGGAATTATAGATTGTCTTTTGATCATGTGAACACAATCGGGATAATTGTATTAATTTATCAAAATAGTATAGTAGTAACGATCTAAAACTAAATACTGCATTGACTTTCACGATGTGACACCTTATACGTAATTTTCAATTTCTGCTATTACCTTTGCTATTACGTAGAGTAATAATTATTTTAAAACAATTCCCAATGAGACACGAAAACATTGATAATTACACAATACAGTGTAACATATAAAATGCAATATATTTCAATTGTACAATCAAATTGAATATATAATACATTTTATAACTATCGCAATGTAACGATTACACCTCGAAAGAAGTCACGGTTTTGAAACTAATATTCGTTTCAATCCCTGCTGTCACCATCGTAGAGTAATAATTATTTTAAAACAATTCTCAATGAGACACGAAAACATTGATAATTACACGATATAGTATAACATATAAAATGCAACATATTTCACAATTATACAATCAAATTGAATATATAATACATTTTATAACTATTGCAATGTAACGATTACACCTCGAAAGAGGTCACGGTTTCGAAACTAACATTCGTTTCAATCCCTGCTGTCACCTTCGCAGAGTAATAATTATTTTAATACAATTCCCAATGAGACACGAAAACATTGATAATTACACAATACAGTGTAACATATAAAATGCAATATATTTCACAATTATACAATCAAATTGAATATATAATACATTTTATAACTATCGCAATGTAACGATTATATCTCGAAAGAGGTCACGGTTTCGAAACTAACATTCGTTAGCGCGAGACGAATTATTATACATTCGGAGGGAGGAAATGTTCCTCTCGAAAAAGACGCGATAAATTGACGTTCTATTCCCTGCAGGTAGATTATGGCTTTGCTTTACGTCCCAGCCAGCAGTAATTCGTCCCCCGTTGTCCTTTACGTTCTCCTTCTGAATATCTTTTATTATCGCGTAAATCTCTCCTAGATATCGCGGATAACGACTTTACCGTGTTGATGTAATAACTTCGATATATCCGGTCCCTCCAACGTCTTCAACGCGGTTCTTGCCTCAAAGCGGTATCCTGATACGATCGACAAGAACGGCGTTTTCACCGTAATTTATCATAATGTCCTCGCGATCCGTTTAACGTTCAATTTCACGCGAAGGAGAGCCGAGAATAAAAATGAAAACCCGCGCGCGCGCGCGAGAGGAAATTGCTGAATTTCTACGGAATTAGCAGCGTGATTTTTGTTTTTTTTTTGTTTTTGTTTTTGTTTTTGTCAGAGTTTGACGCACCGCGTCGAGTTTAATATTCTCGTACGTTTCGGACGAGTTTCGTTGTAATTTATCATAATATCCGTGGCGGATGTTCGTTTGGTGTTTCGTTTCTGTTCAGAGACAGTGAGGCGAAATGAAAATTGTTGCATTTCAGAGTTAACGCCCGTGAAAGGCTTGTGAAATTAACGAGACGAACTTCGCACGTGGGATTCAAGTTTGGTTTAGTGCCACTCGTTTTAGTGTACCTTGTGTTTTAGTATCCTTTGCATTGAGAACTGTTAAATCGCGAAAGTGAAAAGTAATCATTTCTTTTTTTTTTTTTTTAAAGAGAACATTATTTTGTTATTTTGTTATTAACGATGCTGTTTTATTCTAGTTTTGCTACGATGTGCAGAATGTGTGTGAAAAGCAAGAGAATTGCGTGAAATTAAACGTAGAAGTGTGTAACAGTAGAAGTAGGGTCTTACTGGTCAGACATTATTGATGACTTATATACGTAAACAAAGGTATCAAATTTTATTTATTACAATTGCAAAACAGGACCTATCGGAGTAATTTTTTTAGCTATTTCAAGAAACATGAAACGTGCAAAAGAATTTTTTTTTTGTCATTGTTATTTTTTAAAATGGAACTAGTGAATAATCGATGAAATCTTTATCCTGTATGCGAGAATATCTTTTTATACGTATTAACAAGAAACGTTAAAAGGCAGAATTAATTATTCCACGAACCTCATTTTGTTTTTACTTCGTATTAATTGAATTAATTCTTTGTGTCAATAATCGTTGGATCTTCCTTTTTTTTTTTAAATTATCCTCGGACAGCGTAAAATTACAGGAGTATTTGGTATTTTTATTAATAACCTGTTATTAATAAAGCTTCAAACGAAACCTGCGTATAATATATCTTATTATTCGATCATGCTCGTACAACACACCATGTAAACTTTGGCTGTTATTCTCTGACATATAAAATACAGTAAAATATACAGTAGCATTCGAGGAAATATTTTTTAAAGTTAACCGGAAGTTTGGACACGCGAAAACAAATCTCGTTGCTATAATATGTATCGTTATATTATATCAAGTACGCGTATCGATTTTAACCTACGAACGTCAATTGTCCCTGGTATGTATTTAGATTACGATTAATTGCAATTGCAACCTACTTCGAGCCATCTCGCGTTCCGATATCCGTTTTAATAATCCAACGCGACAGCATTGCAAACTACATTTGAACAATTTCCCAAATTCAACACGATAAAACAAATTGTTAGGAATGTTGGATTACCGATTGGTTTTTGATTACGCGGAACGTCAAATATCATTTAACATCAAAACGGTATAATGACTAAATATTGCATTGACTCTTCAGTAGTGTAAACATTGAGATTTATTTAGTGCAAATCATTTAGCATCGAATCTTGTTGAATTTGTATACAGAGGATAATATTTATTGCATTATGTACATAAAAGTGTTGAATAAATACTATATTCAATACTTCTTGTTATGTTTGCATAATAAATATTATCCTACGTTGCTATCAATAATAAAAATATCCCAAATGGACATTGGGTATAAATATATTGAAGTGTTTTTAAAGTAACGGCATAAAATATGAAATATAAAATACAAAGTGATGAAAGCGAACGAATGAATTACGGTTTACGTTCCTTAATGATTGAATCAAATTTTTTTCAGAAGCTTCTTAACATTTGCTGCGAGTTCATTAAAGACAAAGTTATCGAGTGAAAGATACAATTGTCAAGGCAGTTATACAGTTATTACAAAACAGAACTGTAAGGAAACTCCAAAATAAATAAGTAAGCGAGTAAAGAACAATTTGTAGTATCGAATTTTAAATTAGCTTCTAGACAAACTAAACTTATTTAGTAAAATGAATATATTCTTCATATCCCTTATAATAATCTTCATTCGTTTCACGTTGTTTTACCATTTTTGTACACAATTCACTTGCTTGAAAACTCTTTTTCTTTTTAAAAAAAAAAAAAAAAAAAAACGGAATGAAAGACAGAGAGAGAGAGAGAGAGAGAGAGAGAGAGAGAGAGAGAAGATTCATGGTGAAAAAGCTTCATTTCGCTTCGGTCCGGCATCGTTACGTTACGTTTCAGTGCGCGACTTCGCTTGGTCGTCTCGTAAAGATCGTAAGCCGGAGGAATATCCAAACAAACGTCCTTTAAAGCATCGGTGACTTCACGCGGAAATGTTGCCGAGAGAAGCGTATTCGGATTAATCCCGGCGCTATGCCGAAGGGAAATACGATGCAATACGTGTCCAATGTAAATATCCTCCGCCTCGTCGAATGCAAATATTTGCCCTTTACAATTTTGTATCACCCTTGCTCTTGCTCTGGCTCAAACCCTTGCAAGTCTGAAGCATCGCGCGACTATCGCTATAATTTTCGGCCGAACGATATTTGCGAGTCGAGACAACTGCGAGAAATCCGAACCTGCGAGTACATGTATATATTTTCCTGCAGCGCGCGATCACCGTCTGTTCCTGATTCACGACGAAAGTTTCACCGAGTGTTCGTTCATGCGAAATCTCGACGTAGAATCCTCAAAATATATCTGGGATCCAATATAACCGGGAGAATCTTCTCTTTATGTAGCTGCACGGTAGACTGCGGACGTTTGTGCAATTGCGTGTTCTTCGCGAAGATGGCTGAGCAAAAGGAAGAGCAGGTTTAATTGAAGTAGGTTTGATAATTATTACAGCGAGGAGCGCGTCTGTATTAATACAGTGATAAAAGAATTGTCTAAAACTATTTTATAACTTTGTTAAAAATTGTCAAGTTATCTTATTAGTGATCATATAACTATGATGGACTGTGATTGTTTAAATACTTTTGTAAATTGAAGAGGATAGTAAAAGGAAAGGGGAAAGAAGAGTGGATTAAACGTTGGTTTAATAATTATTACTGTGTTACCAATGATAAAAGAATGATCTAAAATTTTAGGAATCAAGTCTTATTGATAACTGTGATGGACAGTGACTTTAAAAATACTTTTGTAATTGAAGAAGATAGTAAAAGGAAAGGAAAAGAAGAGTAGATTTAGTTAAAGTTGGTTTAATAATTATTACTGTGCTACCAATGATATAAGAATGATCTA